GTTCCTTTGATCCATGTACCTTTCATTGTACCAGTACCAAGCTGTTTTGACCACTGTAGCCATGTAGTATATTTTAAAGTCGGGGAGTGACAGGCTTCCAACCTTCTTCTTGTTCTTAAGCAGTGCTCTGCTTATCCTGGGTCTCTTGCCAGCCTCTAATTTGCTTGCCAATCTTCAAACCCACTGAACAGTTTCCACCTTAAAGCATTTGTCCCCAGACATCCCTCAAGTCTTTGCTTCAATGTCATCTGATCAGTGAAGCCTACCCTGATGGACTGTATTTAAAATTGTGACCTACCTACCACCTCGTCTCTGATACTTCTGCCCTCCCATTTCTGTTCTACTTCTTTGTATATTATAGTACTTACCACCTGACAGATCTTAGAAGTTATCTATTTGTTACGGTCTGCTGTCCCCTGCCCTAACACAGACAGTGATTGAAGATAGTGGTCTTTGGTTTGGTCTCTGATGTAGTTAAAGCCCAGGAAAGTGTCTGCTGTGCAGTTGTTGTGTGCTGCTCCAGAGGGTTTCCTAGGCTGTAATCTTTATGGGAGCAGAGCAACAGGTCTTTTCTCATGAGGAGCTGCTGGTGGGTTTGAACCATCAACCTTTCTGTTATGAGCCAAACACTTAGGTGTCCAATAAATATTTGTTGAGTAAATCGAATGAATGCACATAGGTGAGACAAGTCACCACCAGTTAGATTCAGTGATGTTGCTCATTTACTTCACCACTGCCGTCAAGTCCGTTCTGACTCAAGTGACCATACAGGAGAAAGTACAGCTGTTCCACAGGCTGTCCAAGACTTTCAGTCTTTCCGGGAACAGACTGCCTCATCTGTCTCCCACAGAGCAGCTGGTGGGTTTAAACTGCTCACCTTTCAGTTAGCTACTGCTCAATGCTTAGATGCCTGTTACATGCGAGGCACTTTAGGCATTAAAGATTTTATTGTTTCTAAGTGCTGTCAAGCCTGATTCGACTCTGGGTTCCTGAGGAGCAATTGATGGGTTTGAACTGTTAGCCTTGCAGTTAGCAGTTTAAGACTTAGGCTACTGGGCCAGACTAGGACTAACCCATCGAGTTTACAGTCAGAAATCCATGATGATTTAATTGCTAAGCTTATAATAACTTAATGACCATGATGTCTGTTCTCTTGGTAACTTTAGATACAATTTAAATTGTGCTGTCACAGTTTAAAAATCCTTAATGTGAATGTTTTTTGGAGTCCTAGGGCACAATTGTTAAGTGCTCAGGTACAGACTGTGAAACATCAGTAATATTTGAAACATACAAAGGAGTATATTAACATTGACATCTTATAAAGCTTATTAATATTAAATAAAAATATCCACAAAGGCATCATCTAGCCCAAGAACTAGAACCTCATATATATAAACTAGAGTCTCGTGTAAAGCATTAAGGCAGAGCCTTTTGAATTTTTAAAATATGAACTGCTTTTTGCCCATAATTTTTATCTAATATAAAAATCAAGCCAGGCTTATTTTCAAATAATTTGCAATTCTTGTTATACCTGCTCTATAATAGATATTTTAATACATAATCGTAACGTTTTTGACTGTTGGTAATTTGTTTACATCTTAATCCCTTAGCTAGGTTATAAACCCCAAAAGGAGTTTATAAGAATCTCTTACATAAATACAGTATTTTTATCATTTAAAAGTTGTTCTTATGTATATTATCTGATTTAATTTTCACAACCATCCTCTGAGGTAGTTCAGAGTTAAGTGCCGTTGAGTCAGTTCCAACCCATACTGACCCTATATAGGATTTCCAAGGAGCAGCTGGTGAGCTTGAACCATCTACCTTGCGGTTCAAACCCACTTTGCAGTCCAGCGCATTGATCCACAATGCTGCTTGCAGTTATAAAGGAATGTTAAATTCCTATTAGGAACAGAACAGGTTGTGCTATCTTCTAGCCATTGGAACTATTGCTTTTTCTAACCTGTACTCTGTTCTATAATTACTCTCTACAAGTACAAGGAATTACACTGAGAAGTTTGATCTTCATATAGCAATTTCTTATGAAGTTGGTTGATAACAGTTGGAGTCTGTGATTTATTTTCTTTTAGGGGAATGTGGTTTGGATGGGAACATTGCAACATATATATGTTTTGTTTTGTTTTTCCATTTCTTCCTTAGAACAAACTGCCTTTTTAATTGGCATTTTCACTTTTCTATGGGTTGAACGACCCATGACAGCAAAAAAAAAGCCCAACTTCATTTTGTTGCTGAAAGCACTATTATTATCTAGCTATGGAAAACTTCTGCTGATTCCAGCTGTCATTTGGGAACATGACTACACACCTCTGTGCCTCAAACTCATCAAAGTGTTTGTCCTTACATCAAATTTTCAGGCAATTAGAGGTACGTTTATGTTTTATTCTGCCTTCTCCACTTTCAGCCCAAGGCTTAAAGCCTTAATTCTAGACCATAGTTTTTAAAAAAGCTGTTGAACATGATGATAATAACAGTAACTGACATCTGTATAGTCCTTTTTGCATGTCAGGAATTGAGCATTTATTAAATGTTATTAAACTGCTTTCATAGGCACCCTGACATGTGGGGTTAGTTAAGCAGCCATTATTACTTGTATTGAGTGAGTGAACTTGTGAGGACTCTGAGAGTTACGTGGCATGGTGGACGTCAAGCCAGGAGAGAACGCCAGGACTCTATGTCTGAATCTGGTGCAGCTCTTGCTGGACCAGCAAAGGAATCCATGGTTATGCATGTCTCACCTTCTCCCATTGCCTGTGAGAAGGGCTAGTATAAATGATCCTGTTACCTGATACTTTTTATCATAATCCTGAACGTTTTTTGAGACTGACAATAGGAGTCTCATTTTTTTGTTCCTCATTTTATAACCTTAGAGTCTATTTTAATTTTCTTCTTGAATATTCATAGGAATCTGCTTCTTAATTTGGGGAGGAGAAGGTCGGTGTTTCTGTTATAAGCTGATGATTTGATTATAAAATTGTTTGCAGATGGTAACAGCATAGATTAAAAAAAAAATAAAGATTTTTTAATCAAATCACCTTTACAAAACAATTCATAGTTCCACATCGTTTACATACCAATATAATTTGATGAAAGTCTAAAAACCTTACTAGTTGCTTTTTCTTTCCCAGTTACCCTGAATATCAACCGGAAGCTGTCCTTGTTAGCCATATTGAGTGGGTTATTATTGGAAAGCACCATGGTCTACTTCTTCCAGAGGATGGAGTGGGACATTGGAAGTGACTGTGCCATCTAGAAATCTCAGGACTTTTGAAGAGGTACTGAGACCATCAGCAGTGTTCATGCAGTCAAATTACAAATGTACAAGTATGTGCTTGTGAAAGTCATTGGTGCATTTATGTAAGCCACCCCCTAGCATCCAGTTTCTTCTCACTCGTCTCCGGCCTGCTCTCAGACCCCTTACATGAGCTCTTCTCGTCCTCCTCAGTGACATCAACATCTGTGTTCTGTCACTCCTGAAGCCCTGCCTTCACAATTTCTCTTAACACCTCAATGTCAGCTCACTGCTACTAACCTCTCAGACTCTAAAAATCCCTCCTTCTAACAGCTACCTCCTACCTTTTCCAACCATTCTGTTTCCTCATCTTGACCAGCTCTGCATTTTGCTACCTTTTTCACTTGTAGTAGTCCCTTTGATATGATTTCAGATTTCAGTTGTCTCTTTTTTAATCAGACTCAGAATCTGTAGGCAGCTGTTTCCATTTTTCTCCATCGGGCTCTTGAAATCTATCAACTTCAATATCCATTTTCCATATGTGCCTTACAGTGAGTCTTGCTGTCTATTCTCTCCCTGAATCATTGCAAGTGTTTCTTGAGCAAGTCATCTCTGCCAGTGAATATAAACAACGCTGGGCATCATGTCGTTCCTATTTTTGTGTCTACTTCTTGTTAATTTCCTGTCCTGTGTCCTGAAAGCAGTAGTTCTGGAAGTCTTCTCATGCCCCTCAATCTCAGATCTGCTCTCGCTTCTCTCAGCTCATCTTCCATGTCTTATGAGTTCCTTCAGCTTCCTGCTCCACGTCCACACCTCTTTGGTCTTCATGCATTCTTTCCTCCTGTCTCAGAAGCTGTGCTTATCTTCCTTTCTGAAGCCATTTTCTGCATGTTAGTACTGTCCTTCTTCCAGACCAGATTGTAGCCTGTCTGGACAGCCTCTATGTTATGAAGTAGGATCTTGGAGTAGACTCTTGAAGGCTGGGTTGGGAAATCTGGGGATGCAGGTGTTGAAGACGTGGTGAGTAAAAGCACATGGAAGAAAACAGGCTCAGTCCGTGATCCCGGTTGCTCATTCCTCGCTCTGTTACACACTCCTGCAAATGGCTGTTTGAAACATCCTCTGCCTCACTCAAAGCCCCAGCCTTCAGCCCTATCGCCATAATTTCCCTACATGCTCAGTTAGTCTTCTCCCTTTCCAGGTCTTCATTTCTTGTCTTTACTGTGACCCGCTTCCCTTCTCCATAGCTCTTTATAACAGAACAATTTATCTATGCCAACTTCCTTGATTTCTTCACTACCTTTTCTCTTTGTAAAACATATTTCCTGCTGTAACTCACTGCCATTGAGTTCATTCCAACTCACAGCAACCTTCTGTAGGGCTTCCAAGACTGCAAAGCTTTATGGGATCAGATAGCCTTGTCTCTTTCCCAGGGAGCGACTAGTGGGTGTAAGCTGTTGACCTTGTAGCTAGCAGTCTAGCACTTAACCCACAATGCCACCACGAAGAATGACTCCTTCCTGCCATGGTCTTCTTGAATTTACCAGAGAAGCGAGTTGCTAGCGTCCTTTTCTTCAGAGTCCTCATTCACTCTGCTCTGAACCCTCCTTCTGAAACAAGTTACCCCCTGTTCTCTCTTATCATATCTTCCTCCTCTGAATTCCTCTTCCTGGGTCTAGGATTCTGTTCTAAACCCACTTCCTGCCTCTCTTGCTGCCTGCATGCTGTGCTTTGACAGTGCCCTAACTTCCATTGTGATCTCTGTGCGTGTGCTGTCCAGAGCTGCTGACTCTAGCTCTCCCTCTGCCTGTTCAGTTGTGCCCTTCTCACTGCCTCTTAGATAACTCCATGGCCACCCTGCCATGACCTTAGATACCGGCAGGTCTAGGATTGAACTCGTTTCATCGGCCCTCTACCCACCCAAACTGTGGCACTGTAGGATAAGTACTGGACTGCGAGGTCTGTTTGAACTGTAAGGTTGGAGGTTCAAACCCACCAAGTGCTCCTTAGAAACACTATACAGGGTCACTGTGAGCCAGAACTGACTCAACGGCATTTGACAACAACAACAACGCACCAAAACAGTCCTCTCTTGATAGCTTTTCTCTAGTTTGAAATGTCCCTCAACTAATTTTCCTTTACACCTAGCTCAGTTCTTATGGTAGCCTAAGAGTTTAGAACAACCTTCCAGTGACCTTCAGCCCAATACTGGTGCCATAGTGGTCTTCATAAAGTACACTTCTGTGTCACTTCAAAATTTTCAATCATTTGTCAGTGCTGATAAGGGATTTCTTTTCTCTCCCCAGAGAGCACCTTTTCATTTTCTCCAGCCTTACTGTGGCCCTCAGTCATTTGGTCCTAATTTTCTTCTCCACGCTCTAGTCTGAGTCTTTTCATTGTCTACAAACGTGTCTCATGGTTTCTCCAGGGCCTCATGTCCCCTCTTCCCTGCTTACCCCAAAACTTGCCCTGTTAGTGCTCAGCGTCCAACACCCACAGCACTTCTCTGGTCAAAGTTGCCGAGACAGTCCCAGGCTCAGATATTTTGGCCACTGTTTTCATAAGCATTGCTACTTGTCAAACTATTAGTTATGAGTTATAGTTATTAAAATAAGGTCGCATGTCTTTCATAGTCATTCAGACGCCATTGTCTTGTTTTATGTTCTGTCATGCTTTATGTTCACACCTATACTTGTCAAGATGTGGTGCTGTAGGATCAGCACTGGATTGCTAACTGTTAGGAGGGTGGTTCTAACCCACCAGCCACTCCTCATCAACCCTATAAAGGGTCACTGTGGGTTGGAACCAAGTTGATGGCTCTTAACAATAACAACAACATCTCATATTTTGGAAATGCTTAGGTGGTCTAAACAGTTAACTGGTAGCCAGAAGGCTGGCAGTTCAAGCCCACCCAGGGATGCCTTGGAAGACAGGTCTGGAGATCTCATTCCAAAGGGTCAGAGTGTTGAAAACCCTACAGAACAGTTCTGCTCTGCACACGTGGAGTCACCGTGAGCCAGAAGTGACTGGATGGCAACTCACAGCAGTAGTCTCGCATATTGAACTGGCATGTCCCTATAACTCAGTCCACCAACGTAGCTGACAATTTGGTACAGGGAGAGACCACGACTCAGGTGACTGTCTCCCAAAGCTCAGGGCCTTGCCCTAAATAAGTATCTATTGAGTTAATTCAACAAAAGGCGGTGCCATTCTCAATATTTTCTTCATTGTGCACAGTTTTATTCTTCTTTACTGTTTATGGTGTGGCCAGCTGCATCTGAAAAAGAAAGCCATGAGATGTAAGCCAAGCTGCCCATGTCTAAACAGTAAAATGAAGCAGAGATCTAGAAACTTCCCCAAAATGAAAGCAACGATTATGGTCATGGAAACCCTCCCGCCCACCTCCACAGTCAAACAACTGAAGCATCACACATACAGATGCATGTAGGAACAGATGCAGAAGCACATAGACACCCAGGTAAGCATTTGAATTTAAAGAGGGATATGTTAGATATGCCGTAGAGTCGTTCTGGCCCATACCAACCTTGCATAGAGCAGCTGGTGAGCTTGAACCACCAACCTTGTGGTTCAGACCAACTTTGCAGTCCAGCGCATTAACCCACAGTGCCACACCAGGAGAGACATGTGAGTTCATAATTCACATGTAAGAAGATATCTATATTTCATTGTTTTGGCATGTTTACACTTTTTTTTTTTTTTTTTTAGTTCTAGTGTGGCACTGTAGGATAAGCACTGGATTGCTAACTGCCCCTTGGAAATACTATACAGGGTCATTATGAGTAAGAACTGACTCAGTAGCACATAACAACAACACATTTTTTCATTTAAGTGTAACATGATGCGTTGTATAACATGAGGGGCTTAAAAAATTTTTGGGGAAAATGGAGTTAAACAATAGGAATTTTTCCACAGACTTTCTGAAGACCTGTTGTATATTTAAAATACCATACTGAATTCTTACAATAGAAATGTTTAATAAAGGTTATCAGAATAAAGTGAGTTTTTGTAAATTTTCTATTCCCTATCTTCCTTTTAATTAAATTACTCTGTAAAATTAGATAACCCAAAGTAAATAAGATACTAAAAACCACTGAATTATATATTTTACAGGAGTGAATTTTATGTAAACTATTTCTCAATAAACGTAGTTTTTTAAAAACTAGATAAGATGACACCTTTCCCTTTTCTCTCTGCCTGTTTCCTTCACTGGTTTACGTATTCATTTCACAAATGTCACTGAGCACTTACTCTGGGGTGTCCGACACTGGAGACAGTGGTGAGTGAGACATAGCCCTCTTAGCTTAAGTGATGGATCCAGAAGTATGAATGGAGAATTATAGGAACAGTATGTCAAGTGCTATCATGAGGGAAATAGGGGTGCTAGGGAAATAGAGATTAAAAACACCTATTCCAGCAGTGGAGGTCTCCCAAGAAGACTGGAAAAGGGAAGGAGTTGCCCAACTATCCCTCCTAGAGAGAAAAATAATACGTGCAAAGTCCTAAAGAACAGAGAAATGAAAGTACACTGTAGAGTATTGGAAGTAGAACTTTTTTTTAAATGATGCTAGAAAGTCATGTAAAGTTCAGATTATAAAAGGCCTCATGAGTTGCAGTTTACCCTAAGGACAATGAAGTCAGTATGGATGGCTAAAATGAAAAATCCAAAACAAGAAGCCATTTCGATGACATCACACAGTAGCCACAGGCTAGAACAGATTGTTGGCCACCAGATGGAGTTTGAAAAAGGAAGAACATGGTTCACAAGCAAACAGTCAGAAAGAAGTGGCCGTTAGAAAACAAGTATTAGAAACCCCGTTCCTTGTATCTGAGCTGTCAACAAGAAAGTTAGTTAACACTTCAGATGTGTGAGAAAGGACTGACTTAGCAAGTTTAGATCCTATTCTCCTTATTCTTTATTATACCACTCCTTGGAGCAAGAGAAGAAAGGGCAAGACTTCAGGAAGAAGGCAGACTTCCTTTGAGATAGTTAGGTACACTGTGGAGAGAAAGTCATTCTC